CTACTCAGAGAAAAATGAAATTCAGGCTGAGGAACCACCTTGTTATTTTCTCATCTCTAACCTCCAAACTTCCACTGCATTCCATCCACGCCCTCCATAAGCTGCTATTAATGTCTACCTTGTCTGATGACTCAGAAGATTTCAGACCTCCTTGTCTGTACTGACTACAAACTCTTATATATCTGAATGTATCATAGCTCCCAATTCAGTGCCTAAGTAATGTTTTAAGCAATTAGAAGAGAAACTAAATTTCCTGTGTTCTGACAATAAAGTGTACTAAAACATACTGCCCTGGAGTGACTCTGACTTAGACCACCACCAAGGACAGGCTAGAAATGCCCCATCAGGTTTCCAGGGCCGCAATTTCTATAGCTGCTGGGTTCCAGTCACAGACTTTAAGGTTATAACTGCACCACAAAGGCTCTTGTTTTGACAATTCTATTCAAAACCATACAAATACAATTATAAAAGCATTATCCAAACAGAAGCCTTTGAAGAGCATACTTTAACTAATGGCTTAAGAATTTATCAAGTGCTTTTAAGGAACTGGCTACTCTGAAGTTCTTGAGCATACCGAATAGTAATGGCTTCAGCCGTAGATGAGGCTCAAGAATGGCTCCTGCAGAGACTCTTCACTGTGGAAGAAGTTCCCTTACAATAGTGCTCCTGGACTTTCTCCACTTCCTCTCTCATGCTGCCCCCAGAAGATGGAGTTCTGAAAGCTAATTTTGTGTGGAGAATTAAGGTTTTCCTGGCTACCTTTTCCTCTTTCTGCCTCTAGAGTAAGATTTCTGCTAGTGCCTGGAAGATTAAGTTGTGACTCATTCTGAGGTTCAGTAATAAGAAGCCGCAACACCTCCATGCAGATAGAAATCTGTCTCACATCATTCTTAGCCTTCTTTTCAGTTGGCTCAGAACCCGAGAGAGGAACAATCATGTAATTTATTGCACTCTTTCAGAACTCCTAACACATCCCACTGTAACCTTGTTGACCAAGAAGCCTGACATGAAGAAAAAGAAAAAAATCCAGAAAGCAGTCTTACATGCATCTGCATTAGCTTCACATACCAAGCTGTGATGTCAATTTGACCATGATTCTTATACCTGTTTGACAGTTATGTAATGATATGTGAATACCTCCATGCTATGAGCAGCCAGTTGAAAAGAAGGTTCCTTAGGGGTATGTTCTGCAACAAATATATATTTGGAAATTCTGGTGATGCTTTCTGCTCATTCTGAATCCTACATCCAGCTCTCATCATCACACCCCCAGTTCTTGGGCCCTGTGCTAGTAACCTGCCATACTACCTGCTGATCTTGAAATTGGTGAGTCTCCACAGCCCAAGAGTCGGCATACAGCTCACCTGTGATCTTAGCTTTGTCAGCCTCCACAGCCCAGCAGCCTGCTGTCTGACCTGCAGTCCTTACATTTAGCAGTCACTGCAGCTATAGGGAATCACAAGGAGCCTCTCCAGTCTGACATCTGACCCATGGACTGGGGACCTACCTGCCTGCCTCTAATGCTGTATGAACAATTTTCTTGAAATACATTTCTTTCTCTTTTTCTTTATGTTGTTGTTATTGTTAAGTACCCTCAAGTCGAATATGACTCACAGCAATCCTGTAAACAGCTGACCTAAATCCTGCCCTATCCTGTGCCATCCTCACGAAAGCCCATTTCTGAAGTCATTGTGTCAATCTATCTCACTGGGGGCCTTCTCCTTCACTGATCCTTCATCTTCCCAAGCATGGTGTCCTGCTCCAAGGAAGAGTCTTGCCTGGCTATATCCCCAAAGTATGAGAGATGAAACTCCACCATCATTGCCTCCAAGGAGCACTCTGGCTGCACTTTCCCCAAGACATATTTGAAAATCAATATAAATAAAAGCTTCACTGGATTTTGCTTCTTTAGAGAACATAAACAAAGATACAGACCCACTTTAGCATACACTATGCAAGAAGTATATCCCTTATTAAGAGATATCCCTTAATCTGAACATTCACATTGAGACAGACTAGGAAGAAGGATTGGCCATCCACTTCTGAAACAGCAGGCCTCTGAAAACCCCATGTGCAACAGAACACATTTAGATAACAGAAATGGCAAAGGAGGTTGAGTTTTCAAGCATGGAAATACAAAGGAAGAGGAACAGTTGTAAGCAGACACTGGTGACT